ACGCAAAGCATCCACTGTCACTAAAAAAGACCTTCATAACATTCCCATAACGTAAATAAAAACATAACCACCATATATTTACCTCTATACCTTACAACCTTCGCCCGAATCATCTTTCTTTATCACTGACACTTCCGAAGTTATCCAGTTTTCTCGAGAAAACGGCCGTTCCGCCGCACCGTGCGTCGGTTCTATCAATCTAACGTTGAAGTATGATACGAGCTGAATAATCCGATCCCGCCGGGAGTTCTATATTTGCCCGGACTCCTTAACCGCGGTAATCAGGACGTTCTAACAGCCCTCGTCGTAATCAAACGTTCTCCGCTCCGATACTCCGGCGTGGGGCGTCCGGCAAGCGTGGAAATCGATGCGAAGGAATTTATCCCGTCGGTCTTCGAATGGGAATGACGCCGGCGAGGGAGAGCAGGGCGAGAATGGCGCGGCAATAAGCCGACGCGCGATCGTTCAATTCTTTTTTTTTTCCTTCCCTCTGCCGATAATGAGAACCCGAACGATCCCGGCAGCTGCATAAGAAATCGAATCCACCGATGGCGAAAGGGACAGCGGGAAAGAGGGGAACGGGGAGAGGCAGCAACATTTTCCCACGGGTAAATACGAATTGCCCGTGGGACGATTATTCGATCCCCACCTACTATTGTCGTTTCGTTAACGATTCGGCCGGCGTTCGAATATTAACGAGAGCCACGTGACGTGACGCGGCTGGCCGCTCGTCCGGCGTTTTAACGACGCGCGCGAATCGTTCATTCCCGTCAATCGGGCAACGCATTTCCGTTCTAGCGCCGCGTTTCGGGCGTTCCGCGGTTTCGGCTTGCATAATTCATACCGTTTGATTGCGTTTTTTGTCGTCTTATTGTGGGAGGTTACGCGTTGAGAGAGGTTAAGAGTGTTGGGAACGCTCGAAGTTGGTAACGAAATAGTAATAATAGTTTCTTAATAGAAATTATGATAAGTTGCGATGCTGTTGAAGGGTTAATAATGTTGAGAACACTCAAAGTTGATGAAACAATAATAGCAATGATTTGTTAATAGAAATTATAATAAACTTGTGCCGCCGTTGAAGGGTTAATAATGCGGAGAACACTCAAAGTTGATTACGAAATAATAATAGCAACCATTTATGAATGGGAATTATAATAACTCGCGACAAGTATACAAAAAAAGTAGCGATCACTCGCGAAACAAGTAAACCAAAGAACTGCGGTATCGGTTATCAGTTTATCACCGATGAAATCCGCCGGATTATTTGTTTTCCAGCGCAACCGGAGAAGTAAATGTCCCCGGTTACTAAGATTCGTTGTTTAAATAATCCCGCCGGTCTAATAAAGCAACAGCGACCGATAACGATGTCCCCGAGCGCGATTCCTATTATCGAGAAAGAAATTCACGATTGCCTCGGGCCAAGATTTTCAATAATTGGTTTGCTCCGACGGAATGGTCCCGATAAAGTAGGTTAAGGCATCTTCCGCCTTAGAATTGACCAACAGTTGTTCGTTTACTATCACGTGCCCACATAGAACGAAATATTAACGCTATTTTTATTTTAATACAAAATTATTTTGAAAATTTCTTGATCATTGTAGTAAAATTCGAGAAGTAGAGATAAAATAGCACTTGGCAAATGATTTTAACTTTAAATTTACGAAGTTTTCAATGAGCAGCTTTCAACATCAAATTATTTTAAAAATTTCTTGATCATTGTAGTACAATTCGAGAAGTCGAGGAAAAATGGCACTTGGCAAATGGTTTTAACTTTAAATGTACGAAGTTAGTAATATTTAAATTTTAATTTTTCACGATGTCAGTAAAAATAGTAAATATAAATTCTTCTGCTCGTTTCTTTCCGATAAACTCAAAATTTTCATTACCATTTCTTAACGCTCGAGAATAAACTGTTATTAAAATAGATTGTAAAAAGAACTTGGGTATTTTATAATCGATATTTTCGATTCATCTCAAGGATGACTCGTATA